AGAGGAGAGGAGAGGAGAGGAGAGGAGAGGAGAGGAGAGGAGAGGAGAGGACGAACATGAACATCCCTGGAAGAAAAATAAAGGAACTGGGGGCTGGGTGTGCATTAAGCAAACTAAAGACTTAGGGGATTGGGGGAAGGAGAACAACACAAGTATGCCATGATGGTCACAGCATCCCTCATTGATGGACCAGAAATAAACTCTACCGCCGTACAAAGGATGCCTCCTATGACAAGATGCATTTAAAAGTTAAAGAGCTTCTTAGACCTACATAATTCAGAATAGAAACTGTCCTTTTTTAAAATGACAGGTTTTTCAATCTGATCCATTTTCTCCTCTTTATCCTATCCCCAAATAGGATAAAAAGGCATGTCAATACTATCATTTTATCTTGGTTTGCTTAAAAGTCACATGATTTTACTTACAGTCTGCATTTCATTTTTATTGAGAACCTCAAAAACTAGCAAGTACACGTAAGTTACCCATCCCATATACTTCAGTTGTGTCATGAAATGAAAAGCAACTTTCTGTCAGTAGAAATTATAATGAACCTAAGTCAAGTTCCCCCAAAACAAAGTATCATTTTATACCTAATGACTAATTCACTGTTCTTCACCTGTGGACCTAGGGAGATAACTTCAGCATAGCAAATGACATTGTGTAAATTCACAACCATTTTTAGAGTCAGTAAGAGCAAACCTAAATACTTTAATCAAATCTCTATTTTTGTCTCTCTGAAAACTTTAGAATGTGAGGAACACTGGAGAATATTTCGTCCATCCCATTTTACAAATAAGGAAACCACTGTACGTCCTTTGTCAAAGCAAAAGCCACATCTTCTTTAATGTTTATTCCTGCCTTCATTCTCCCAGCTTAAGCAGATAACATTTAGGCCCTAGTTCTGACATTCTCCTTCCTAGCCTATCTGTGGGCATTTTTCATCCCATATATTTTATATTTGTCATAAAATGAAAATCAACTTTCTTTTTTTTTTTTAGAGATGGGGTTTCACCTTGTTGGTCAGGGTGGTTTCAAACTCCTGACCTCAGGTGATCCACCCACCTTGGCCTCCCAAAGTGCTGGGATTACAGGCGTGAGCCACCACGCCCAACCTGAAAATCAACTTTCTATCAGTAGAAGTTATAATGAACCTGAGTCAAGTTTGCAGTTCATAGAAGTTCACGTTTGACACGGACATGAGCTATGTATGCTCAGAAATCCAGACCACAGGTGGTTGTGGGCTTTATATATGAGTAATCTGTTGCCCCTATTATTGCCCTGAAAATGCTTCTGAAAACCGAAGCCAAGAATGTAGAACTAGTCCCATGTCCAAAACCAGAGTGTCTACAATCACTTGCAATTGGGCCCTGACTATTGTTTTTATGATCTATTCTTAATTACCTAGAAGTGGGGCAGGGCTCGGTGGCTCACACCTGTTATCAATCCCAGCACTTTAGGAGGCTGAGGCAGGCAAATCACAAGGTCAAGAGATCAAGACCATCCTGGACAACATGGTGAAACTCCCATCTCTACTAAAAATACAAAAATTAGCTGGGCATGGTGACACACGTGTATAGTCCCAGCTACTCAGGAGGCTGAGGCAGGAGAATTGCTTGAATCCAGGAGGAAGAAGTTGCAGTGAGCCGAGATTGCGCCACTGCACTACAGCCTGGTGACAGAGTAAGACTCCGTCTCAAAAAAAAAAAATTACCTAGAGGTGAATTGTTTTTCTCTCTCTGAGACAATATTACTACTCCAACAGGAGCCAAATAAAAGAATAAAAGAGGCACAGAAATAAGCCAATCCTAATATCACAACTGTCTAAAAATCCCTAAATAAGACACACCAAGAATACAATTTTAAGTAGGAGAACAACTATGAGCTTTTAAAACATCACCAAATTTTGCTTTTGCTTCTTAGCTTTCTTTAACGAGCCAGATTAGGCCACGGAGATATATCATTTGCAGATGTAAATCACATGAATTTAGCTTGCAGGATCCATAGGACCTCTGTTCTGCCCTGCTCCAGCCACACTCCACCCCATCAGACAAGGAGTTTACAGGCCAAATGGATGTGCTTCCCTAAAATAACCGGCCCCAAGCCCACCTCCAGGATATACACAGGCACTTTCCCACCACCAGTGGCACCCCCTGAACGTGGAGGCTGGCCAAAGAGCAGATATTTCTAATGGGTATGGACATAGCTTAGAAATGTGGGACAGGAATGTCCACATTTGCACATGAAAGGGCCCTCAGTGAATGCAGGGGAGTCACAAGGGGACAGGAAGCTATCATTGAGAAGGGAAGAGGGGCAACCCAGAGGTGGAGCCATGTTTCAGCATGGAGTGGCAAGAAATCTGAGAATTCTACATTTGAACCCAGGTATATGGAGGCGTATTTGGCAAGGAACAGACTGTGTCTATTCCTACATGGAATATATGGAATAATATATTTTATTTGATGATTAGTTTGTTGTCTAACTTTTCAGTATTTGATTTAAGGTATATATGCTTTCTTTTCTACCTCTGTCCTAGGTCCCACACTTGCTAGGAGCCAACTCAATAGGGATTTAACTTAAGGAAATTGACTGTCATGTAATCAGGGAAGAGAGGAAGCAACAAAATTTTCAAAATGCTATAGTTCTCCTTATCATTCCCATCAATAAGAGTAAACTTCAGCACGCACAAGAGACAAGAGGTCTGAATCTACCCAGTTCCCAGCTTCCTTTCAGGATGAACTTACTACACTGAATATTTCAATGCTTAAAAATCTGTGTCTTTCATACATGAGGTCTCCTAATACAATCAAGTTCCTTCAACTAGTATATTCTTGAAGAAAGTCATACTTTCTAACGGGAAAAAAAAATTGGTTATGCAGGACTTATGAGAGATGGTGTATCTGTCTCCAACACAGCACCTTCCTAAAGAGGTTTTCTTGGGTAGTTTTTATGATTCCTGGATGTAAATTTAACCTTACGAGCAAACTCTGGAATCTAATACCTATGTAAACTGCACTTCCAGTGTATGAGAGAACTGCTCTTGCAGCCAAGTTACCACCTCAAAGCAGACCCTCAATTCTATAGTCCAATTTTACAACTCAAGTTCCAGAGGCAAGACATACGCCATCTTCTCTCAAAGGAACAGAATATGACTGAGAGAGAGAGTAATGCAAAGTCAGTGATACCTTTTATCTAATTCAATGGGCAAGACTTGAACTTGGATGCAATGTGAGTCCCTGGATTTCAGAAGGCAGGGGAATTGCTTGAGAATAGGTCATAAGGTTATGGTAACAATAACAATAATACCAGTTGAGCATATAAAATCTGAAATGTTCCAAAATATAAAACTTTTTGGTCACTGACATGACATTCAAAGGAAATGCTCACTGGAGCATTTTGGATTTCAGTCCAAGTATATAATGTAAATATTCCAAAATCAAAAAAAAAAAAATCTAAATCCAAAATACTTCTGGTCCCAAGCGCTTCAAATAAGGGATGCTCAGTCTGTAATAATAACATTTATAAAGTACATGACTGAACTTATATTCTCACTGAACTACTGTCATTTAACATAATAAAATGTTAACTGAAATATATGTATTCCATTTTCTCATCTATAAGCATAAGTTTGGTCTCTTTTATTGTGAAAAATCTACGATTCTATAGCTATTCTATTTATGGTATCCTGGAAAAGTTAGGTCAGGAATTTAAGAATATTGCTTTCCCAGCTTGGCTCAGTCAAACCTTCTCTAGAGAACTGCTAACTATATGTCAGTGTGAACTTGATTTAAGTGGAAAGAGTCTCTTAAAACGAGTCACATATGTAAGAAAGAGTCTAAAGACCCAACAGGGAAGAGCCTTGTACAAAGTTCTATCACCTGCATGAAAGTGAAGTGAGAAATTCTGACCCCCAAAATAAAAAGCATTACACGTTATTTTTGGACAAATGTTCAGATTAGCTCATGCAGTAGATCCAAAGTAGATAGCATATTTGTTTAGGAAAGATTAACTTAAATCAGTGGAAAGAATCATAAACCCTTTTCAGCCACAAACCAAGGGCGTCCAATTACACAAACTGGTGGGTAGTCTGCCTGGGTCCAGCTGCTCTCTGCAGCCTTGTAACAAATGCCATCCCTTTCATTTGGCATGCAATTATAAGACTGGCAGAAGGGGTTGTTAACCAAAAGAAAATTCTGTTTATTTAAACCTGAAACAAATCCTTGCCCATCCTCAATTTTGTTTTACTACTCTGCTTTTTAGTTAGAATATATGATTTCAGTTTCAGAGCACATCTAAAAAAATTAAATGTGACATTAAGTTTATTATAAAGTTATTGAACTTACCGGGGAAGGAATGAAGGCTTCATGAAACTTCTTTGGATTAATTCTCAATATACCCTTTAAAACAAAAAATGAAGTTTGTGAAAATCTAGCTAGATATTTATGATTTTTCCATATGTATGTTATTCTCCAATAAAAAGTTTTAAAATTAAACAGTTCAATTCAGAAAACAAGTTAGATGTATAAGAACTATTCATTAAATGCAGGAAACACAATTTCTGTTGATATCTGAAATAGAGGGTTCCATCAAAAAGAGAAAGCTTAGACTGGCACCTTGTTGTGAACAGGCAAAAGTGAGAAACAACAGAGCTTGGCATGGAGTGGGAAAGTGACAACTGTTAGGATTTTAGGTGCCCCTATATGCTAGTCTTCAAATTTAAACCTTGACTTTACAAGTAAGGCTACCTGGGGATCATGCCTCACTATACAAAGGTCTTTTTTATTCTCCCAGTTCCAAGACCTTTCCACAATTACTTGTTTCTGTGACAATTTTCAAATTGGGATACAGGTTGATTTCCAACCTGGATACTGAGCCTCAAGAAACTGGATGCATTATTTTTTACCCTGGCCCCTCTGCAGAGCTGAATGAGTCAATAATTCAAAATGGTCCATAACCAGCTCTTAATGCAAACTGGAATCCTGGCTCCAACAGCCAGGCCACCCAGTCTGCCTTCAACTTCATGTTATTCCAGCACCAAATCAGGGTCTGCTTCTATTTACACACAGGGGTGCAGGTGGGGGCCTCTTCAATAGCAGTTCAGTATTTCAGGCTCTTGCAGGAAGCTGTAACGCTCCCCAGGTTCCAGCTGTAGTCTCAGGCCACTGGAACACATGGATGGAAGCAGTTATTTTTCTAACAGCCAGACTCAAAGGATATCTTGAGAAAGAATTTTAAATAGCATTCCCCCCAAAAACATTTAAAGATTTAAAGATACATAATTAACAAAACAGGCAAGGGCATAAAGCAGAAAATAATTTCTTTCTGTGCTGTACCAAATTTAAACTACAAATGTCCATGCCACAGTTTATAATATCATGAACATTCAAATAGACTACTACAAATGATCATTCAGTCCTTAATTCAATAATTAATTGTTGAGTACCGACTATATTCAAGACCTCGAGACACACTGATGGGGAAGATAATGATTAACTAAGCTCAGCCTCTATTTTAAAGGAAAACATAAAGCAGAGGTACAGCTTACTTTCATAGCGGGGGCACCAGAAGAGGCTTCAGAGATGGTGTCTGATCTAATCCTTTACAGAAGAGCAAACTTTGCAAATCAATCAGATGAGGAGTAGAGTAGAGGACACTGTGTTAGCAAAAGTGGTTAAGAGGGCACTCATTAACTCTTCTCCACTGTGCAGTAACTCTGCCTAGCATAGAAGAGGGAGGGATCGGCTGGGCGCGGTGGTTCAAGCCTGTAATCCCAGCACTTTGGGAGGCCGAGGCGGGTGGATCACAAGGTCAAGAGATCGAGACCATCCTGGTCAACATGGTGAAACCCCGTCTCTACTAAAAATACAAAAAATTAGCTGGGCATGGTGGTGCGTGCCTGTAATCCCAGCTACTCAGGAGGCTGAGGCAGGAGAATTGCCTGAACCCAGGAGGCGGAGGTTGCGGTGAGCCGAGATCGCGCCATTGCACTCCAGCCTGGGTAACAAGAGCGAAACTCTGTCTCAAAAAAAAAAAAAAAAAAAAAAAAAAGAAGAGGGAGGGACCAGGAGATAAGGTTGACAAAGCTCTCCAAGGCCAGTCCCTTGTTAGGAGTGTCACAGTAAATCTACTTGTAGAACAGCTGTTTCTTGTTGAGGGAAGGAAGGGAAAAACTTACATTTATTCTAAATATTCATCCACTCACTCAACAAATATTTCCTAACGAATCGCATGGCAGGCACCCGGTAAAGTGATGGGGGCACAATGGAGATCAACAACAAATAGTCTCTACCTTCACAGAGCTTACAGTCTGGTGAGGGGACGCCAAAGAAATGAAAGTCAATTCATTGAAATTAAATGTTTAAAAATTTCATTTTCTGATTCCAGATGCTTTTCTCTTGTCTAAGTTTTTTTTCCAACTCCTGTTCTTCTATCATCCCTTGTAGCTCAGCATATGAAGAAGTAGAGAGAGGACAATGCCTCTAGCTTTGAAAATGCCTTTAATTGCAGGGCAGTCAGACCAGGCTGGGCCCAGGGAAAAGAGACAGGTTGCTCAGGGCTGCATCCAGGCTCTATTTAAAAGAAAAGATATTAAAAAGACCTTGAAGATTTTACCCTTGATTCCCTATCCCAAACTTCCTAATATATGCAAAAGCACCACAAGGAAGAATAGAAACCTTGGTCCACAACAGCATTTGTGAATTTGACTGGAGCATAACTCTGAAGAACTGAACCTCAGAAACAGAGCCCTTGAGAGAATCCAGATCACACTAAGAAAGAACCCACAGAGCTCCGCAGCAGACCAGAGTTGTTCCTACAGCCTGACACAAGCAGCTGGCAGTAAGGTCTGTCAAAAAAAAAAAAAAAGGATCTTTTATAACTAAAGGATAATTCCCACAGATGGCTTGTCTTAGTCACCTACAAAAGTCCACGACTTTCATTTCTATAGCCATCCCCGAACCTGACCCAATCGCCTATCTCCCATCTTCTTCCTAAAGCACTTCCCTAGGCCTGGAACTTGATCAGTGAGGATCCCATATCCTCCATCTCTTCTCTGGATGCTCCTGATTCTTCACCTCAATTGAAACCTGGCTGTTCCCTGATGTTATTGCTTTCCTTGAGTGCTCTCAAAGGGGGCCTATTTTATCTCTCATACCCCATGTATCTCAGGGACCAGGGGTGGAAGGTCTCTTTGCTTCCTCATCATGGCTTTAAAAGTATTTTTTCCTCCATTCTTTTTCAAAAATCCCAGACCCTTTGAAATTCATGTCATTAGCACCTCCTTGGTGCTGTCTTCTTCACACTTTCAGGTGGGTCAAAGCTCTAATTCACTAACATTTTGACTGGCAGCTCACTGCCTTTCTCTCTATCCTCACTCCCATATATATTCAGGACTTCACAACCAGACTGAGGACCAAGCAACCCTAGCCTGTCACTCTAACTACCATTTGCTCCCCCGCTCCACCTACTCGCTCCCATGTTCACAGCCTGGATCCCATCAGCACTATAATGATGCTACCTCAAAAAAAAAAAAGAAAGAAAAATTCAAATATCACACTTTCCAATGTCAATCTTTGTCTACCTATGGTAGAAACCCCACTTCAAATTATTCAATTTCACTAAGATCTCCAACCCAAAGCCATGACCACATTTTTCATTCATTGTCCCCCTACTCTGTTTATTCCCTTCTCTGGCCACCTGACTGCCATGGCCTGTCATTTATCTCTTAACCTTGTAAATCCTGAACGAACCGTTTACTCTGATATTCAACTAGCAAAGACCCCCTCTCAACTAACCTCAACTGTCTTCTTTCTCCCTTCCTATACCCAAGCAGCTGAACAGTACCATAGAAAAACACCACACAACGGGGCTAAATCAGTCTAACTGGCAATCGCAAACACACTGTATTTGGCTTGAGAGTCCTTAAAACTGGGGAATTTCACAGATATAAAATACATATTTCCAGATTTTCATGAAAAATCATAAGATCTAACAGCTTTGGACTGGGTTCTCCAAATGGCAGCAACCACCTAACCTGAATAACAGATGCTCCTTTTATAGTAATAAAAACAAAACTCAAGTGCCACTTACGCAGGTATACGACATGCCACACACTCTTTGAAGAGCTTTATGTCTATCAGCTAATTTAACCCTCACAACAATCCTATGAGGTAGATACCATTATTCTTGTTTTTACAAATGAGGAAACTGAGGCACTGAAAGGTTAAGAAAATTGCCTGTTTTCACATCACTTTCAAGGCCAGACAGTCTGGCTCCAGAGTCCATGCTCTCAACCACTGTGAACAGTCTCTCTCTCTGTTTGCCACAGCCAGCACCAGGGCCTCTTCACTCATGCATGCCAGCTGTCCCTCTCACCCAAAAACTCAGCACCACATTCCAACCCTTGCTCTTCTCTGTCTTGGTTAATAGCAACATCATCCAGCCAGCTGTTCAACTTGAAAACTCAGCAGGCATCAGTGATGCCTCCCTCTTCCTCACCTTCCATATCTAATCGTGTCACATCAGTTCTAGCCCCACATCCATCCAACCACTTCTCTCCATCTTCACTGCTACCTTCTTGTTCCCATCTCCATGTTTTCTGACCTGGTTTACTTTGATAGCTTCCTGAGTGGCCTCTCAGCTTCCACTCTAGTCTATTCATCTCACAATTCCCAAAGAGATATGTTCAAAGCATGCAACAGATTATTTCTCATTTCTCAAAACACCAAGCCTTCTTCGGCTTGCTGCTGTTCTACTAATTGAGCTCTCCGCCTATGTTGTTCTCCTAATTCTTCAAATGGCTGCTTCATTCTCATCTCAGATACCTCACAGAGAGATCACCTCGTCACAAAGGCTTTCCCTAACCACAGTACTAAAGAGGCTCTCTCTAATTATTCTCTCTCGCCTTTCTCATTTCCTTATTAGCAATGATCACAGTTTATAATTTCTTGTCTTCTTCTTTAGCTATTTTTGCCTACCTTCCCAGTGACTTGCCTATCTTGCTCACTGTCATACACTTGGCACTGAGTAAGATGTCAAGAAACATTTGTTGCACTAATTAATTAATGCCTGCAGAGCTAAAGTTCTCTCATCGCCCCCAGTATTAATGTTATGATTATCATCTCTCCCATCTAAGTGACTGGGCATTCCGCTACAACATCACATCTATTCCCTTCATCTCTCATTCATCCCCAAGCTGATTTTACTTTTTTTTTTTTTTTTTTTTTTTTGAGACAGGGTCTCACTCTGTTGCCCAGGCTAGGGATGAGGCATGATCATGGCTTACCACAGCCTCCAACTCCAGGGCTCAAACGATCCTCCTGCCTCAGCCTCCCCAGTAGCTAGGACTACAGGTGCACACCACCATGCCTAACTGACTTTTATTTTGTAGAGATAAGTCTCACTATATTCCCCAGGCTGGTCTTAAACTTGGGCCTCAAGCAATCCTCCCACCTCGGCCTTCCAAAGTGCTGGGATTACAGGTGTGAGCCACCACACACTGCCTGATTTCACTCTTAACAAATGGTGGAGATCCTAGAAACTAGCTCATCCTGTCCTCCATCTTCCTGTACTAGGATTTTTTTCAGAGTGCCAATAACAACTTCACACCAATATTCTATTCTAGGAGAAACTCTGACATCATGCATCAGGCAGCTCTGGGGACTTAGCCTGAACTTTCTTTAGCCAAAGCATCGTTTGGGATCTGAAACAGCCAATTCTACCATCTTCATACCCATGTCAACTTGATCATCACCCCAAAATGGAGCCCCTTCCAGGCTTGTCTATCCCCTACTCTCATCTCTCCCAGCATCTCAAACAACCTCTCAGTATTCTACCTATGAAGAGAGAAATAAAATACATTTTTTGATGTGAGAATTTATTATTTTTTTAAACTTCAAAACTACACATACATGATCATGTGTTATTGTTATCGTCAGTTTCAAACACTGGAAAGAGGACTGTGGTCTCCTCTTCCCACACAGGAAAAAATACTAATGAAATGTCAAAGTATTAGTGAAGGTATTGAAAATAAAATAAAAATATTCTACCCCTATTTTTTTTTTAATCCCCCTACTATCTCTCAATAAAAGATTTCTTCTCTGGATGGGGAGAAAAAAAAGAGGTCAAAAGAGATGAGTTTGAATACAAAAGTTAACAAAAGTTTCTAAGTATTTCTAATATACTTAATTTTCTCCATCAGCATTAAAACATCCTTTGTCTGGCCTTTTACCTTACCCAGTAAGGCCAGCACACATAAAGTTTATATCAAGCAGCAGATGGACTCTGTTTCTCTGCCTATGAAAATCTTATTTACAGTGTTGTATATTTCACACAGTGACCTCATATCTGGAACCCATTCCTTTCCCCATCTGCAAAGAACAACTGTTCTCATATGTTGGAGGGGAGGCCCTGGCTGCAGAGTCTCATGATGTCACAGGCCAGGAGGAATCACTTACAAACTCCTGGGAATTAGAGTTGTTATATTGATCAGATTTTTGTTTTGTTTTGTTTGAGTATCAGCAACTAGTTGCTTCAAAAGCAAAAATTAAAAGGGAGCTGAAGCTAATACCATTGCAGAAAACACTGTCCTCTCCTTATCACTATATAGGTATAATTCTACAGCCAAAATTCTAGGCTATTTTTCTTTCAAGTTCTAACGACTGAGGTTCCCCCAGCTCTTCTTCAAAAGACAGTAAGTATCTGGATCTTCTATTCAGTCAGTAAGTAAATATTTATTTAATATAAACATATTAAGCATCAGTCAAATGCCAGGCACCAAGCTAACTTCTGGAATAAGACATGACCTTGCTATCAAGGACACGAACAGTCTATCTGGGGGAAACATAAAAGCCAAGAAATGGTAGTAAGTTTAGAATAAAGGAAAAACAAAAAAGTCAACTACAGGAAAGCAGTAAAATTAAAAGTAGAATTTTAATTCTACTTGGAGAATTCAAATGAGGCTTCTCAAAGTGGGTAACATTTAGGCAGGGACTTAAAAGGTAAGTGTGATTACATCAAGACAGCGGGAGAAAGCATTCCAAGTACCAGGAACAACATGTACAAAGTTACAGACATCAAGGAGCACAGGTTTTAGAGGAAAAGCCTGGAAGCTCAGGGTGAATAGAGGAGAGTGTTCCTGGAGGAGAATGCAAGAGGATGAGAATGAGAAGGCACGATGGGTCTTCCTATATGAAACAAGAGGAGGGCCAAGAGACTTACAGATAAAATGGTGTTTGGTATATCGGCTGAACGATGAAGAGAAAATGAATGGATTAATGAATGAACTATTGTCCAAATGCAGCTTCATCTCTCCTAAAAGAAGGCTTATCAAATAAATCCAGGGAAAGTATTTTTTTTAAAAAAAAAAAAAAAAAACACCAATAGGGCTGGGTATGGTGGCTCAGGCCTGTAATCTCAGCACTTTGGGAGGCTGAGGCGGGAGGATCACTTGAGATCAGGAGTTCAAGACGAGCCTGGACAACATGGTGAAACCCGTCTCTACTAAAAATACAAAAATTAGCTGGGCATGACGGCACGGCTAATTTTTACCTCCTGTAATCCTAGCTACTTGGAGGCTGAGGCATGAGAATCACTTGAACCCAGGAGGCAGAGATTGCAATGAGCCATGATTGTGCCACTGCACTCCAGCGCGGGCAACAGAGCAAGACTTTCTCAATAAATAAATAAATAAAGCTACCAATAGTACTCCAAGAATCAGAAAAATCAACTCATTTGTTAAAAACAGTTTTCTGGTCAAAAGTCTACATTGATCACATGTGCACTCAACCACAGGTAAATACAGAAAGGTAAAGATACATAAAGATATAGAGAGAGAGAGACAAAAAGAGAAAATGACAGTAGCTGTAAATTGGTTGGATCTTCAGCAAAAAAACACAAATACAGAAGCTGGACTCTCAGAATAAGAGAAAATGGAACACAGCATTTTCAAGTGAGCCAGGTGTCACATGGCAATATTTCTATACTAATGAAAATATTATGAAATAGACTTAATTCACAGAATATGTGGCCCTGTCTCCCTCTCCAGCCTACTACCTGTCTGATGGTTTATACCCAAGAAGGCCTAAACTGCCATACTCCATGTTGTTTCACAAGTTCACCTTTTCATGAGCACCGCTGCCTCTCCATACCTCCCACACACATATCACACACCTGACAGGCCCAAACTAGTCATCCTTCAATACCTACCATGAGGGTCACCCACTACAGGAAGCCTCTCCAGAACCTCATTCTACAGTTTCCTAGTTTCTCCCCAATATTTTGCCACACACCCTGGCCACCCTTTTATCTGAGCACTTGCCATTTGATCCCCAAATCATCTGTTCACACGACTGCCTCCCACCACTGGCTGCAAGGTGAAGTACAGAAAGACTGTCTTGTCTACCTCCATCTCAAAGGCACCCATGCTGCATGCTCCTAACCGTAACTGTTCCTGGCTGACAATGGACACTCAATAAACATTTGTTCAGCCAAACCACTGAACTAGCTTGTAAACATAGTTTATAAACTATGAAGCATTCAACAAATATTGTCTATTGTTGTTTGCTGCTTCCTTTCCAACCTCATCCATTTTTCGTCATTCAGCATCCACATGCTCCAGAAAAACCAAACTATTCAATGTTTCATATATCCAAACCCAATTTCTCAATTCTATTGTAGTAGCTCACACTGGTTCCTCCATTTCTAAAGCTCTCTCTTATCTTCACTTATTCAAATTGCACCAATCCATGGCATGCCTCAAACATGTCACTTCCAATAAAGCATCTAATGGGAGATAGTGGCTCCCTCCTCTCAAATCTCAGAGCACTCTGCCTGTTCCTGTCTTGTGGTGCTTATTACCTCTAAATGTACTGTAGTTCCAAGAAGTACCTGTTACCTCATCATCTCTGTTATGCCATCATAACAGCACTGCACCTATCACATCATCATCTCTCTGAAAGCATATAGCACAGAATAGGAAATAGTTTAATAGATTGTTTTGGATTTCACATATTCAGGGAATAGCCTTCCAGTAGATTTTAAGCACCTGGATGAGTGTCCCTCTCTTCAAGCCTTCCGAAACATCCTCCTTGGACATGTAAGTTTCAAACATGCTCTTTTTCTTCCCTCGCGTGGACTTGCTCTTTGACTTTTTGTCACCTGGCGAAGCACCAATGTCATGTGGGCCAGCCACAGCAGACACACCTAGAAACATGAGGCAGCAATCAACTCTTTCCTCAAACATCTGTGTACTTTTAAAACTGGAGCTATTATACCTTTTTTAAATTATTATTTAAAGACACCAACAAGAGACCAAAACACCTGATGGTAATTTTGAACAATCACAAAAAGGAAAGCGTGGTTAAGAAAACATGAATAAAATGTACACAGATGAGACTTGAGTTTTAAATCAGCAAAACAACATGCATGGAACATAATCTGAATAATGAGTTCAGTATCCTTTGCTTTTCATAGGCACAAACTTTTTAAAGGTAGTAATTACTAAAAGATTGCCACTTTTCTAGAGGAAATTAAACAGCTGTACTTAATATAACAATAAGTTAAGACAGCAAGAAACACATCTAATTCTAGAATAAATCACACAGGAGAATACTTAACAAGTCACTAAAATAATTATAGTTGACCTTAGCCGGGTGCGGTGGCTCACACTTGTAATCGCAGCACTTTGGGAGGCTGAAGCGGGTGGATCACGAGGTCAAAAGTTTAAGACCAGACTGGCCAACATGGTGAAACCCCATCTCTACTAAAAAATACAAAAATTAGCTAGGCATGGTGGCTTGTGCCTGTAATCCCAGATGATTGGGAAGCTGAGGTAGGAGAACTGCTTGAACTGAGACCCAGGAGGTGGAGGCTGCAGTGAGATGAGTGCGTGCCACTGCACTCCAGCCTGGGTTACAGAGCGAGACTCCATCTCAAAAAAAAAAGGATTATAGTTGCCCTCAGTCCTAAAAGACACCCTCCACTTCACACCCATTCCACTTTTATTTCAGTTCTCCAGTTACTCAGGCAGACTCCACTTTCCTTTTACTACCTGTGGGTGTCTCCAGGGGCCGGAGGTTCATTCTGTGGTCAGGATGGCTCATTATTGGCTCCAAGGTCAATCTTCTCTCCAGATCCAGGGAAACCTCCACTGCTCAGCTCAGAGTTCCCACTTTGAGCAGCTCTGCTGTCATTCACTGAAACCAAGAAGAGACTGGTAACTGGAGAGCAGTTAAGCTGTAGCCTCCTCGTCCTCTCAGAAATTTAGTACTTCGATGGCAAAGGCAACGTGGTGCCCCTCCTGGGTTGTGGCATCACATTCTCCTGGGCAGTTAGTCAAGCACACCATCTGTCTCAAGTTTCTTTTCAAGACTTTCATCCTCACAGATACCACTAGGCTGCTTCTTTGGGCCACTTCAACTAAATATCTCTACAAATGGCACAATGATGTGAAAAATAAGGATTCCTACAGTTCTATTCAGCTTGTGAAATGCATAAAAATATAAAGAAATATAGTTTTGAAAGGTGATATAAAGATTAGAATCTAAACGCCGTAATGGAATAGGTACTAAACTGGGGCTCAATATGTGGCATTTACTGAGTCCAGCTCTGGACAAATGATACACCTCTATGAAACCAAGTATGTCAACTCCTTATAATCCACCAACAAACCTAATTCATTGTCACAACCTGATGTACAAAACTATGTAGGGAACCCCAGATGATTCACATGCTTTCAAAATATGGCAATACTGTAATTAGACATCTCTTCCCCTACTCTTACCTGCCATCACCTCAAACCAGTTGTCTGATCAGAAGCTCAGACAGCTGTGCCTAAGGAATATAAGAGCAGCTGCCAGGATCAGCAGGCAGCTGATGTGGGCCCCTGGCCTTCCACCTGGATACTGAACATGTCATCACAACTTCTACTTTCTAGTCTCTACTGGCCACCAGCCCAGGAGTCAAGTCTATATTTGCAAATGTGGGCAGCCTGTGTTCCCACAAAATGAATCAAGATGTCATTCTGAACACTAGCTTCCATTTCCTCTATATTTCCCACACACATCCTTCACCAAAATGGTGTAATTTCTCTTTAAATTGAAATTAATACTAACTCAGCAGAAGAAAAGCAACGGAGACAAAGGATAATAGGCCACTTAGGGATAAAGAGATTCACCGATAAAGCCAATCCAATTGCAAAAAGGAAGAGAAAGAGATGGTCTTCTATAAACAGCAAGGGAATGAGAAAGGCAGATGGAGGAGTTGAGACTGTCTGAGGGCCTAATACAGAAATGCATTTATCCACTCATTAATTTAACACATATTTCTGCAAGGCACTACACTAGAGAGAATGAAGGATAAGCAGAAAGCACTATGTTTTTTTAAAGTGTGGACAAATGTACAGATGATGGGCGAGAAAGAGTATCTCCAGGTCAGGAAACCTGAGAGAACTTCAGGGAAGATTTTAAAGAACTAATAGTGTGAGGAAAGCATACTCCTGGCAAAAGGAAATAAAAATAGAGATGCAAACAGAAAATACAGGCAAGTTCTCACAAAATTAATTCCATTTGGATAGAATCCAGCCTATACGAAGGGAGGCAGTGGCAAGGAAATTAAAACAAGCTGGAAGGTCTAAAAAACTAGGCCAGTTTTTCAAAAGCACTAGGGAGTTTTCAAAGCATAAATGAGCAGAAGAGAAAAACAACAGATAAGAGTTATTTCAGGAAAAATTAACCTGGTACATAACTGAGTCATCTGGAGTTGAGAGACTAGCAGCAGATGCATCTTAGGAGAAAACCAGAACAGACAGGTCAAAGGAAAGGAAGACCGAAACTTGAGTTGAGGACACTGAAGAGAGGCCCTTACCATGGTATTATACAGGACAAAGTGGCATCACCTAGCAACCAGGCAGGTCTAGAAATGAGCAAGGAGGGAGTGGTTGTGTGAGATTTCTAGGTAGGAGACTGGGAGTTGGGAAAGTTAGAGAACATGATGAATTCTACTTGGAGTATTATGTACCTCCACATGGAGGGATCCACCAAATACTTGAAAATGGAAGCAAAAGAGAGAAAGAGACATTAGCCCCGTCATTTGCATAAAGATGGTAACACAGAGTGTTCAAGAATGGATGAGATTGCCAAGAAAGGGTATGCTGATACAGAGGAGGGCACAGGATAAGGAACCAATAAGCAACACTCCTTTCCCCGTGACATCGCTGTGAAGGCCTATTAAAACCCAGTAGAAGTCCAAGTCCAGGGCACTCTTGCCCTGACAAAATCTGGGTTAGGGCAACTTTTAGGAAATGTAAAGAAGTAGAAAACATAACAAAGAAACTAATGAAGATGTAGGAAAAGAACCAACAGAAACAGGTATTAAGAAAACAAAGAGAAAAGAGCTCCCAAATGAGGACAGATCCATGATCAGGGTATGCTCCCACTAGTGACTAAGAATATAAACAAAGGCAGCCTTGGGTGGGGCAAGGGGTTGGGAGCAAACTGGCAACAATCCAAAAACAAGAGCCACAATTAAAAATGGGGCAGTACATGCCAATCCCGATTCAGGCAAAAGTTAAAATTAAGGGGAGTTACTGCCAGTTAAGTGAAATGAGGGGACAGATTTCAATTCCAGTGTCCCTAGGTCAGCCGCATCTGTATCCTTCCTTCATGGCAGTTATCCCAGTTTGTGTGATTAACACCTAACTTGTCTTTCTAACTCAGGAAGACAAGGAATGTTTGGTTGGGTTTGTCATTGTAACTCTTATGGCTCCCACAGCACCTAGGATAGAACAGGTGCTCAAAAGCCACTCGAAATTAATTCAAGAAAGAGGTTCAGGAAAACAAAACAACAACAACAACAACAAAAACCACTCCATAAATGAATGGATGAGTTTGTTTTCATGAACAAGCAATGAGAACACCAGGCAGAGCAGGGTCATACCAGGAAACTACATTAAAAACAAGTCAGCAAAGTATGGTGAAAGAACACAGGACTCAAGAAACAAAATTGGCAAAAATAAGCGAGACAGCTAGGCAGGCAGTCAAAGCCCACATTTGGGTACCAAAGCACTAGAAGGAGATGGAAAGATTCTGAGTATATAAAATGCTAAGTAGAAAATGAACAAACAATGGCTGGGCATGGTGCCTCACGCCTCTAATCCTAGCACTTTGGGAGGCCAAGGCGGGCAGATCGCCTGAGCTCAGGAGTTAAAGACCAGCCTGGACAACATGGTAAAACCCCATGTCTACTAAAAACACAAAAAAATTAACTGGGCATGGTGGCACAGGCCTGTAATCCCAGCTACTCAGGAAGCTGAGGCACAAGAATTGCTTAAACCCAGGAGGTGGATGTTGCAGTGAGCTGAGATCATGCCACTCCAGCCTGGGTGACAGAGTGAGACTCTGTCTCAAAAAAGAAAATGAACAAACAAGCGATATTCTATTCCCTGTGACATAGTTACAAAGGCCCATCAAGCCTGAAGAAGTCCCTGAGCACTCCTACCCTGACATACTGAAAGCACAGGTCAGTTTCCAATCCTTACTAACTTCCAGAATGAGGGTCACTGATACACTGCCCAACTGCCCACTGGTCCCTAGAAAGAGTGTCCTACCATGGAAATAGCTATACATTCTTAAGAGCTGGGATGACATTAGGATGAACAGGCAATAGTTGTCAATAGCATCACATGGTACAAAAAGGCAGGAAGAATGAGGAACTGGGAAAGGCACTAGAGCTAAGACCAAATCTGAAGAAAGCTCCTGGGTGAAATAAATGGTGTCTTCAGATCCTCTATATTCCCCAAAACCTAGCACAATGCATAGTATATGGCAGATGCTCAAAAATTTGAATAAATGAAGCCTATTTGGGACAGAAGTCAGGTTACAACAAATATATACAAGTGAGAAGTATAAGTGGCAGGGCCAGGACTACAACAGGGCAAGCCAGGCAGCTAGGGTGCAAAATTTGAAAACGCAAAATCCTACACTTGCAGGACCCAGGAAATGAGAGCTTCCTAGAATGTTTGTGCCTTACGCATCTCACTTTCTTAGCCTAGCCTCAGTACTTATGAGTATCAAGAGCAAATGGAATGTATGAACCCAGGTAGCAAAAGAAACTCAAAGAGATAAAGTCCAAAGACAGGTTTAAAGAGAGAAAAAGATGAGCCAATGGAAAGCAAGAGATGGAAAAAACAAGCAAAAGATAATTATTGATTAATTTAAATAAATGGACAAGACTAAAATCTCAACAAGATTAGAAAAATAAACCATTTATCTTACAAATCAGTGAGAAGCACATGGATTAATCAACAAATAAGACACTACTTAACACTATTTTTTAAAAACCAAAAAATCCCTACTTTATAACATATTCCAAAGTAAATTTTAGTTTGAATAAAATTTAAATGTTCAAAAATGAGAGACAGAGACAGAGACACATACAAAGAGGGAAAGGGAGGGGGGAGGGGAAAGGACATCCAGAATAGTTGAATGAGGAGTTTGACAAATATTAACCCCTAAAGCAATAATAAAACTGACAATACTGTAAAAACTATTTAAAGATCTTAATTAATCAAAAAGATTGCAACAAATTGAGAAGTGCCGGTCCAAGAAAATCTATTGAATCTTGGTAAGAACAAGAAAAGTGTGGTGTGTTGGCCTGGAGCTCCTATCATCCCACACTCGCTCCCAACTCCTTGGTGCAGAAGCTACCAGGGTAGGACAAGCTGTGATGACTGGCAGCTCCACTGCCAGAGGGAGATAAATTTATCTGGAGAAGAATTCCATGACCATAAGCATTGTCAAAAACAAAAGTGATTTCAAGGGCAAAAAATGACGGAAATCCAATATTACAGCTAACCTGAGTTTGCAATACCAGTCAGGGCAAGCAACAGACCAGCAGACAAACCAGAAATTTAACATGGAGAACTAAAGAATGAGACAGCCAAACTGCGCCTTGATAAAAATCTATTTTTTCCTGCTGGTCTGAAGACTGTGCACATGTACAACACTGTAAACATGAAGGAAAGAAATTATAAGGCCACAGCAAGCTACTTATCACTGGAAAAAATGAGGCCTTGCAAATGGAAAAAATAAAACCCAGAGCAGACTTTCTGAACTTTGAATGCATGCCCCAAGCCTCACAAAAACCATTCACAAAGGGAAGCTCATTCTTTCAAGGAATTTAAACACAACCTCTGACCAATCATAGGCTGACCACTAAGATATGCTGACCCAGGGTGCAAATACTTGACAGTCATACTAAAAAATAAAAACAAGAAAGGAAGAACTAAGCAGAGACATCAGCAGCCACACACATACTTCATGGAGAAACAGACTCCATGGAATTAATTAGTCCATCCAAGTCTCTAAAAAAATAAAGAACAACCCCATCTAACTCTAGGGAGAAGGGAATCAAAATATAGAATATATTATCAAAAATATCCATTTTCTGATTCTTCAATGCCTCAAAAAAAAAAATATATATATATATATATATATATATATATATATATCCAGTTTTCATAAGATACGCAAAGAAACAGAAAAGTGTGACCCATACATGGAAGGGGGAACAGTTTCAATAAAAACTGTCCTAGGGGAGCCTGGCTTTTCAAGTTAGCCAATAAGGACTTCAAAGCAGCTATTGTAAATATGTTCAAAGAACTAAAAGAAAACAGTTTTAAAGTAAAGGAAACTATGGTGACAATGACTCAGCAAACAGAGAATATCAACGAAAAGAAGTTATAAAAAAGAACCAAGTCGAAATTTCAAGTAGAAAGACAACAACTGAAATGAAAAATTCACTAGAGAAGCTCAAGGGAATTAAGCTGACAGAAGAAATAACCAATAAGTTTGAAAGTAGATCAATTAAGATTATACAATCTGAAAAAAAGAAGTACAAAAAAAATCTTTTTTAATTCCAAAGTCAAGACCTGTAATGAGTCTCATTCCATTTGTTAAAGTTTTGATGTTTGATCACTGACTTATGTTCAGCCTCACCTCACTTTTCCCCTTTTGAACCCACAACTGAGCAGGCTAATAAGAATGTCCACATGTGCCTGGCCTTTGGTCCCCCAGAAAATTCAAGTTTTGCCAATCCTTAGCCTGCACATGGGAACTCCCCAGCACCCTAGCCATTATAAAGGAATAGCCCATTCCCTCGGTCTAACTCAAGGCAAGCCAGACCCACTTGTATTAACCCTACCATCCCCAGAAGTCTCTTGGGTGAATAATAAAATTTCTCTCAAATTTTCTTGGTGTGTGGAGTGCTTCCAGCATAGACATCCTACCTATTAATTGGGAGGGGGTACTTTCTACTTCCACAGGGTGACCATAGAATAGGAATGAAAGAAAGGACATCTCTATAAACCTTACAGAAATTAAAAGGATTATAAAGGAATACAATAAACAACTTAAAAAAAAATGGACAAATTCCCAGAAACAAAAATTACTAAAATTGAGTCAAAAAGAAATAGAAAATTTGGCCGGGCACAGTGGCTCACACCTGTAATCCCAAGGCAGGCGGATTGCTTGAGTCCAGCAATTTAAGAATAGCCACAGCAACATGGCAAAACCCCAACTCTATTTTTTAAAAAAAAGAGTACAAAAAATTAGATGAGCATAGTAGCATGTGCCTGTAGGCCCAGTTACTCTGGTGGTTGAGGTGGGAGAATTGCTTGGACCTGTGAGGTGGAGGTTGCAATGAGCCGAGATCACACCACTGAACTCCAGCCCAAGTGACAGAGTGAGACCCCGTCTCAAAAAAAAAAAAAAAAAAAAAAAAAAAAAAAAAAAAAAAAAAAAAAAAAAAAAAATAAACCCCCTTAAAAAAAAAAAAAAAAAAAAGAAGAACTAGAAAATCTTAATAGACATATAACAAGACATTGAATTATTAATTTAAAATCTTCCAATAAAGAAAACTTCAGGCTCAAATGTCTTCACTTGTGTATTCTACCAAACATTAAAAAAGATTATCAATCCTTTACCTCTTCCAGAAAATAGAGGACTCATTCTGTGAGGGCAGTATTCTCTTGATACAATAGCCAAAGAAAGGCATCAGAAGAGAAAAATTAAAACTTTTAAACAGATAAGACAGTTGATATTTTAAATTTTTCTTCTTGAATCAATCTTATTAATTTGTATTTCTATAGGAATTTCTCAATTTCATCTAATGTTTCATGGTGGGAGTAGAATGTTGTTCAAAATATCCTTTTGTATTTTCTTAATATCTGTCCTTTCTAAGATGATGAAAGTGTTCTTTATCTAACTTGGCCAATATGGTAGCCACTAGCTATGTCTTTGGAGACATTTTAGAGTGACTAGTACAACTGAAACGCTGTCAAGTTTAAAACATTTGTATTTTTTTTTATTTTTTTTTTTTATTTTTAAAACCAGAACATTTATTGCGTGACTAATCGGTGAAATCCTTAAGATGAACTGGATGCCGCAACAGCTGCCCTCTTGGGTTTAGGTGTTGTTCCTTCACGGAATCCATGCCTGAGCCTGCGGTATACAATTTTTAGGTGCCTCATTCGACCAGTCCCGGTGGTATTTCGTCTTTTAGCCTTGGCACTCCAGTTATACTTTCTCTTGCGCTTGGCTGGGTAGCCACATTTGCCGCAGGTAGACTTCTGAAGGTGGTAGGCCTTAGAGCCACAGCGGCGGCACAACGTGTGCGTCTTATTACGACGCTTCCCAAACGATGACGTTCCCTTCGTCATATTGCTTCTGCAACATTTGTATTTCATCTTTATTCGTAATGGATATTCTCTCAGGTTTGTTGGGGAGGAGGTTGGGTTTCTTTTTGTATAGAAAGGGTTCACTCTGTTACCCAGACTGGAGTGCAGTGGCACGATCATAGCTCTGTAACCAGAAACTCCTAGGTTCAAGCAATCCTCCTACCTTAGCCTCCTGAGTAGCTAGGATTACAGGCATATGCCACCACATCCAGCTAATTTTTTATTTTAGTTTTTGAAGAGATGTGGTCTCACTACATTGCCCAGTCTGGTCTTAAACTGCTAGGCTCAAGTAATCCTTCTACCTCAGCGGTGGGATTATAAATGTGAGCCACCACACTCAGCCTTTCTTAGTTTTAAAATTCTAGACTGTTTGTTAGTTATTTACTATCATACTCTAAAGGTATCATACTCCATTGTCTTACAGCCTCCATTGTTTCAATGAGAAGTCAGCCATTAATCTATTGTCAATTCTTTGAAAGTATAACATTTTTTCTCACCAACCCAGCAGCTTTTGAAATTTTTCTCTTTATCTTTGATTTTCCACAGATTTACTACACTAGACCAGGGTATGGATTTCTTTTTTATCCTGCTTGGTATTAATAAGGTTTCTTGAATCTTGTTACTTAATAACTTTAATAAGTCTTAGAATTTTTTTTAGAAAGTTTTCAGCCATTCTCTATTCAAATATTGCTTCTGCCCATTCTGTCTCAACTCTTTGTCAGGATTCCAATTACACACTTTTGATTTCCTCAATGTCTCTATGTCTTCCTCAATCGCTTCAGTATTTTCCATCCTTTTTTCTCTGAATTTTTCCACTTCACTAATTCTCCCTTCAGCTCTGTCTAATCCTGTTAAACCCATCCATTAAGTTCCCAATTTCAGTTATGTTTTCAAGTCTAAAATTTTCATTTTTTCAAATTTCTAGTTCTCTGCTAAGAATGTTGAATCTTGTCTTTTATATTTGAACAAGGTAAGCATAGCAAATAAAGTCTGCTACTAAAAACTCTAATATCAGAAGGCCCTACGTATCAATACTAGTTTCTGTTGCTTGTACTTGATTTTGTTTGTGCTATGTGATCATGCCATGCCTGACTTTTTAAAATTATGAGCTGGACATTATATTTACAGAATGTTTATGATAACATTGGTAAGTAGTAATGTTACCTTCCAAACAGAATTTACAACATTTGCTTCTGCCAAGCACCTGAGACGATAAATTACCTCAATCTATTTTCAGGGTTTAAAGGTATTCAAAGTGGAGCTACAGTCTCTGTGAGGGCCTATCTACATCCAACTCACCCCTACTTCTAGGCTGCGGCCCTTCGGGGTACCAATGCCAAATAAGAGTGATTCACCAAGATCACACACAACCCACATTAGCAGGTCCTAAATTCCAATTCCTATCCTTCTGGCCTTAAAAAGCTATTAAATGTACTACTCAGGCCAGGCGCAGTGGCTCACGCCTATAATCCTGGCACTTTGGGAGGCCAAGGTGGGTGGATCACTTGAGGCCAGAACTTTGAGACCAGCCTGGGCAACATAGCGAGACCCTGTCTCTACAAAAAATACAAAAATTAGCCAGGCGTAGTGGTGCACACCTGTAGTACTGGCTACTCAGGAGGCTGAGACAGGAGAACCACTTGAGCCTGAGAGGTGGAGGTTGCAGTAAGCCAAGACTGGGCCACTGCACTCCCATCTAGGTGGCAAAAGTGAAACCCTGCCTCAAAAAAAAAAGAAGTACTGCTCAGTTTTTCAGCTGATCCCTCAAAAAAACTCAGCAAATATTCATTGAAGAAAAACAGTCCCAAATACCAACCTTATATCTCTAAGCCTTTATTCCCTTCTAGACACACTCTTATTACCTCTCAAATACTTTCAAAGTATTTCTCAATACTTTGAGAGGAAGGGCTGGATTTGGCTGGTGGTTCTAGTTGTTGTCTCAAGAAAGACTGGATTCCAATTATTTTCTTTTTTTGAAATGGAGTCTTGCTCTGTCTCCCAGGCTAGGGTGCAGTGGTGTAACCTTGGCTCACTACACTCTCTGCCTTCTGGGTTCAAGTGATTCTCCAGCCTCAACCTCCCGAGTAGCTGGTTATAGCCACCCCACCTGGCTAATCTTTGTATGTTTAGTAGAGACAGGGTTTTACCCTGGTGGCCAGGCTGGTCTTAAACTCCTGAGCTCAAGTCATCCACCCACCTTAGCCTCCCACAGTGCTAGGATTACAGGCATGAGCCACCACACCCAGTGCCATAACTGAGAGTGAAGTATCAACCTCACTCTTAACTCTCTTATTCCCAACTCTTTCCTATATGGACTCACTCTTCTCCTAGACAAAACATCTCCATACCATCACCTATCCTTCCTTTCCTTTCTATTTTAGAGGTGGAAATGTCCCTACATATTTATAACCTAACCCTCTTAATGTGTGTTCTTCATCCTATTTTAATCTACTCTAGAACTTTAACACACCCATTATTCTTGCCACTGGGGTATACCAAAGTAAGAACCTGGCTCTCCTCCCCTTCTGTCCACTTCCAGCTACCAGCTATCATTCCATTTCTCTCATTTCCATCCCTACCAAAGTTTAAAAATGTGGTCTGGACTTACCACCTCTATTTCCCCCATTACATACTCTTTAATCTCTTTTGGAATATAACTTCTATCCTCATCTCTACAATGAAATAAAGCTTTCTGTATTCCTAGGGAGGAAAATCCTCACTACTTAAATAATGGTATTCTCTCAGTTTGCTTGTCTTTTGTGCAGGATGCCACTGACCAGCTAGCTCTCTGTAATACAAATTCTTCACTCTTGGCCTCCAGGACACATCAGTCTACTGGTTCATCTCTGTCTCTACAATTCACAGATTTCCTTACAGAATTCTTTTTTTTTTCACTTACCTCTTCAGTTTCTACCATATACAAGATTCTACTTTTATACATCATCTCACTTCTCTTTTAAAGAGTTATAAATCATCTCCAGCTCTGCTCTTCAAAGCTCTTCTTTAACTTTCCAACATCCTGCTGAGTAATACTAGCAAGCACTTTGAATGCAACATGTTTCTAACTCAATTTATTATTCTCCTCAATACCTGCGTACTACATCCAGATTAATGACATCGTTATCATCCCTGGGCAGCAACAGTAGACATCTAATCCCTTTTTCTCCATTAGTACTCTATTACCAAATTTTGTCTATTCTATCTTCAAAACGTGTCCTAAATAGATTCCTTCCTTTCCAACTTAATTAGAACTGTCTGAATTCAGGTTGTTACAACTGTATATGTACCATAAAGATGGCAATAATTTCTCAGCAGGTCTCTCACTCACCAATCTCTTTTCTTCACTCCATGTTTCACCTACAACATAGAAGATATTTTATGAAGCAACTTTTTCTTTCTTTCTTTCTTTCTTTCTTTCTTTTTTTTGAGATGGAGTCTGAACACAAAAATTAGCTGGGTGTGGTAGCACATGCCTGTAGTCCTAGCTACTCAGGAGGCTGAGGTGGATGGATCACTTGAGCTTAGGAGGTGGAGGTAGCAGTGAGCCAAGATCACACAACTGCACTCCAGCCTGGGCAACAGAGTGAGACCCAGTCTCAAAAAGAAAAAAAAAAAAAAAAAATAGAAATTTAAAACTAATAAATACAATATCTGAAACAAAAAATTCAGTGGATAAGCTCAATAGCAAAATAGAGGTAAAAGAATAAACACTTAAACACTCAGGGAACTTAAACTTTATCAACAGAAATTATACAACCTGAAAAACAATAAAGAAGACTGAACAAAAAATAAAATATATGGACTTACAGGACAATATCAAAATGTCAAACATAGGGTAATTGGCCAGGCATGGTGGCTCACGCCTGTAATCCCAGCACTCTGGGAGGCCAAGGTGGGCAGATGACCTGAGGTCAGGAGTTTGAGACCACCCTGGACAACATGGTGAAACCCCCGACTTTCAAAATACAAAAATTTGCTGTATGTGGTGGCGCATGCCTGTAATCCCAGCTACTTGGGAGCCTGAGGCACAAGAATTGCTTGAACCTGGGAGGCAGAGTTTGCAGTGAGCCGAGATTGTGCCACTGCACTCCAGCCTAGGAAACAGAGCAAGACTCTGTCTCCAAAAAAAAAAATAAGGGAAATTGATTTCCCAGAAGAAGAGAATAGGTCCCAATGAAGAAACATTGGCTAAAAACATCCCAGATTTGCTGAAAAACGTACATATATAGCTTCAAGAAGCTTAGTAAACCCCAAAAAGGAAAAGAAAAAAAAATTTTTTCTGAGACGAAGTTTCGCTCTTATTGCCCAGGCTGGAGTGCAGTGGCGCAATCTCAGCTAATTGCAACCTCTGCCTCCTGGGTTCAAGCGATTTTCCTGCCTCAGCCTCCCAAGTAGATGGAATTACAAGCGTGTGCCACCACACCCAGCTAATTTTGTATTTTTAGTAGAGACAGGCTTTCTCCATGTTGGTCACGCTGGTCTCAAACTCCCAACCTCAGGTCATCTGCCCGCCTCAGCCTCCCAAAGTGCTGGGATAACAGGCATGAGCCACTGCACCTGGCCAAAATTTTTAAAAAATTGTATCTATATCATCATAATCAAACTGCTGAAAACTAACAATATAGAGAAAATCTAAAGCAGTCAATGGAAAATGAAATACCTCAAACAGAACAAAATTTTGATGGCAGCAGATTCCTTATTTTTTTATCATCATCTTTCCTGCCAACCAAAGACAATGGAGTAACTTATCTTTAAAAAGCTAAAAGAAAAAAACCGTCAGCCCTGAATCCTATTTCCAGCAAAAATATCCTTCAGGAATGACGGCAAAACAAAGACGTTTTTCAGATAAAAGAGAAAACCCTTCACCACCAGGACTGCACTACAAGAAACACCACACAGAATTCTTCAGGCTAAAGGGAAATGATACCAGAGCAAAATGGAATTTTCAGGAATGAATGTTAAGCACTGGAAGTATTTAATATATGTAAATCATACATGAATAAAGTTGTAAAAAAT